CACTGCACTCCAGCCTGGGCGACAGAGCGAGACTCCCTCTCAAAAAAAAAAAAAAAAAATTAAATCCACTTTTTTTTTTTTTATTTTAATAAATCCACTTTCAATAAAAAACTTTGTTGGGAGAAACCCCCCCCCAAAAATCTGGCCATAAACAATCTCTGCAGGACTGTGACATGTTCATGATGGCCCTAATGCCCAAGCTGGAAGGCTGTGGGTTTACCGGAATGAGGGCAAGGAACACCTGGCCCGCCAAGGGTGGAAAACCGCTTGAAAGCATTCTTAAGCCCCAAACAACAGCGTGAGCGATTTATGCCTTAAGGATATGTTCCTGCTGCAATTAACTAGCCCAACCTATTCATTTAATTCGGCCCATCCCTTCGCTTCCCATAAGGAATACTTTCAGTAAATTTAATATCTATAGAAACAATGCAAATAACTGGTTTGCTGTTAACAAATATGTGGGTAAATCTCTGTTCAGGGCTCTCAGCTCTGAAGGCTGTGAGACCCCTGATTTCCCACTTCACACCTCTATATTTCTGTATGTGTGTCTTTAATTCCTCTAGCGCCGCTGGGTTAGGGCCTCCCGGACCGAGCTGGTCTTGGCAAGTGGTGTCCATTCGTGGGGCTTGAATCCAGGTTGAAGTGTCGCCGGAGCGACGGTTGGAACAGAAAACTAGCTGGAGGACACCCGAGTACTCTTAAAGCAATCCCCATGGTGAGTAAGAAGGGGAGCTCAGAATCATCAGGGTAACAATGGGACAGGTTTGGGGTTTGGTTCATTTCACCTTGGAAATTTTTCACACTGATAATGAAGAGGAACAAGAGTATAGCAAAGTAACAGAAGAGGTTACAGAGCATGTTTATTTGCCAGCTAAAGCTAAAGCGGCAAAGGAAGGAGAGGTTCATCCCTACCCTTCTGCACCCCCTCCTTATTATTTTGAAGAAAATGACCCCCCAGATCTTTCTTTTCTGGAGGACACTGGGTGAAAAGTAGTTGCCCCAGTGACTGTTCGAGCAGCGTCTCGAGCAACTTCTCTTAGTTCTATTCAGGCAGGAATTCAGCAAGCTAGACTAGAGGGTGATTTAGAGGCTTGGCAGTTCCCTGTTAGAATACACCCCCCAGATCAAGAGGGAAATGTTATAGCTACATTTGAGCCTTTTCCTTTTAAATTACTCAAAGAATTAAAACAAGCAATAAATCAGTACGGACCAGGTTCTCCTTTTGTAATGGGACTGTTAAAGAATGTTACTGTTTCTAGTCAGATGATTCCTACTGACTGGGATGCTCTTACTCGAGCTTGTCTAACTCCTGCTCAGTTCTTAGAATTTAAAACTTGGTGGGCAGATGAAGCTTCCATTCAGGCTGTTCACAATACCCAGGCCCAACCTCAAATTAACATAACTGCAGACCAACTTTTGGGGGTTGGTGGCTGGGCTGGTTTAGACGCACAACTGGTCATTCAGGATGATGCCATAGAACAGCTTAGAGGAGTGTGCATTAGAGTTTGGGAAAAAAATCACTTCAGGTAGAGAACAATACCCTTCCTTTAGTGCTATAAAACAGGATTGGACCCAGTTAGAAAAAAAGAACGTACTTGTTTGGGAAGATTGCTTTGCAGAACAGGCAGAGGTGCTGCACAACGATTACTATGGAATCATTATTAATTGGTCCCCTAATGGGATGTTTAGCTTAAATTGCACCTCTTAGTCTGCGTGCCGCCGTCACAATATGTTCAAATGATCTGAACAAAATGGTCAGATGGTAGAAATAATAACAAGTACAGCAAAAGTTTTTTTTTTTTTTTTTTTTTTTGAGACGGAGTCTCGCTCTGTCACCCAGGCTGGAGTGCAGTGGCCGGATCTCAGCTCACTGCAAGCTCCGCCTCCCGGGTTCATGTCATTCTCCAGCCTCAGCCTCCCGAGTAGCTGGGACTACAGGCGCCCGCCGCCTCGCCCGGCTAGTTTTTTGTATTTCTTTTTTTTTTTTTTTTTTTTTTGAGACGGAGTCTCGCTCTGTCGCCCAGGCTGGAGTGCAGTGGCCGGATCTCAGCTCACTGCAAGCTCCGCCTCCCGGGTTCACGCCATTCTCCTGCCTCAGCCTCCCAAGTAGCTGGGACTACAGGCGCCCGCCACTTCGCCCGGCTAGTTTTTATTTTTTGTATTTTTTAGTAGAGACGGGGTTTCACGGTGTTAGCCAGGATGGTCTCGATCTCCTGACGTCGTGATCCGCCCGTCTCGGCCTCCCAAAGTGCTGGGATTACAGGCTTGAGCCACCGCGCCCGGCCAGTTTTTTGTATTTCTTAATAGAGACGGGGTTTCACCATGTTAGCCAGGATGGTCTCGATCTCCTGACCTCGTGATCCGCCCGTCCCGGCCTCCCAAAGTGCTGGGATTACAGGCTTGAGCCACCGCGCCCGGCCTAAAAGTTCTTATTATCTGGAACCATGGTGGCATAGTGGCACCTCAACCTCAAATGATGTGGCCCGCTGTAGGAGCTTTCAGACCTCTGAGCCCAAGCCAAGCCATTGCATCCCCTGTGATTTGCACGTATATACGCCCAGATGGCCTGAAGTAACTGAAGAATCACAAAAGAAATGAAAATGCCCTGCCCCGCCTCAACTGATGACATTCCACCACAAAAGAAGTGAAAATGGCCAGTCCTTGCCTTAAGTACTGACATTACCTTGTGAAAGTCCTTTTCCTGGCTCATCCTGGCTCAAAAAGCTCCCTGACTGAGCACCCTGTGACCCCTACTCCTGCCCGCCAGAGAACAAACCCCCTTTGACTGTAATTTTCCTTTACCTACCCAAATCCTATAAAATGACCCCACCCTTATCTCCCTTTGCTGACTCTCTTTTCTGACTTAGCCTGCCTGCACCCAGGTGGTTAAAAAGCTTTATTGCTCACACAAAGCCTGTTTGCTGGTCTCTTCACACAGATGCGCATGACAGGAGCTAAACATAAGGATTTGTGGAAACTATTAAATGCTCTTAGTAAGATCAAAATTTGGGAAAGAATAAAAAAGCATATAGAAGGACACTCTACAAACTTGTTTTTGGATATAGCAAAATTTAAAAAACAAATATTTAAAGCATCCCAGGCACACCTGACCTTAATGCCAGGAACTGGAGTGCTTAAAGGAGCGGCAGATAAATTAGCAGCTATTTAAATGGATAAAAACACTTGGAAGCTCTGTGATTTCAATGATGACTGTACTTTTAGTCTATGTTGTTTGTCTTTGTACAGTCTGAAGATGCAGATCCTGACTTCTGCGAGAAGTAGCTCACTGTGACAAAGCTGCCCTTGCTTTTATCTTTTTGCAAATCGGAGAAAGGAGACATGTTGGGAGCAAGCCCCCCAAAATCTAGAGGCCATAAACCGGCCCCCAAACTGGCCATAAACAGAATCTCTGCAGCACTGTGACATGTTCACGATGGCCCTAATGCCCAAGCTGGAAGGCTGTGGGTTTACCGGAATGAGGGCAAGGAACACCTGGCCCGCCAAGGGCAGAAAACCGCTGGAAAGCATTCTTAAGCCACGAACAATAGCGTGAGCGATTTATGCCTTAAGGACATGTTCCTGCTGCAATTAACTAGCCCAACCTATTCATTTAATTCGACCCATCCCTTCGTTTCCCATAAGGGATACTTTTAGTTAATTTAATATCTATAGAAATAATGCTAATGACTGATTTCCTGTTAATAAATATGTGGGTAAACCTCTGTTCAGGGATTTCAGCTCTGAAGGCTGTGAGACCCCTGATTTCCCACTTCACACCTCTATATTTCTGTGTGTGTGTCTTTAATTCCTCTAGCACCCTGGGTTAGGGTCTCCCCAACTGACCTGGTCTCGGCAACTGTTCAGTGTTTGTTATGTTTATTTCTAAAAATTTAGACACATACACATTTGTTTTTTGTTGCTGATATTCCTCTCTCTCTCTTTCCTCATCCCTGTATGTATATGTATTTGTATATGCCTATGTATTTATATAATTTATATTAAATGTAAATGTGATATGAGAAGAACTGGATCTGACATTGCTGTCTTTGACAATGGAGGCAGAAAGCTATGAGCCAGGTAACATGGAGGCCTCTAGGAACTGGAATCTGCCTTTAATATATAGCCAGCAAGAAAACGACCTCAGTTATACAATTGAATTCTGCCAAAAAAATTGAACAAGCAAGGAAACAATCTCTCCAAGAACCTCCAGTAAGCAACGCAGCCCTGATGACACCTTGATTTTAGCATAGAGAGACTCATGTCTGACTTCTGACCTACAGAACTGTGAGATAATAAATTTGCGTTGCTTAAGCCACTTGTGGTAATTTATTTTGCCAACCATATAAAATTGATACGGATATATCTTTATGTAAATTACACAATTTTGCAAATTCATTCCTCTTAAAAATTATACATGGACATCTTTTCATGTCATTTACAAAGAAAGCTCACTGTGTGCACAGTTTTTTCTCATGGGTACAGTTTTGTAGGAAAAAACCCTAAATATAGAATAGCTCATTCAAAGAGTAGTGCAGCCAAATTTCCCTTCAGGAAGGCTCTACCAATTAATATTCCCACCAATAAAATGTGAGAATACACATATTCCACATCCTGGCTACAACTGGATATTATCAGTCATCTTAATGCCATGGCCTTTGCCCTTTCCAGGACTCAAAATTACTTTCATAGCTATTGAGTACCGTTATTTCTTCTTTTTATGACTCTCACATGTATTCTAATGGGACACATTAGAGATCCATACAGGATTTTATAAGAATGTCCTCTTGCCCTAGTAGATTTTCTTACTGTCTAAGATAAATTGGCAATATAAAAGTTATTAATTCAGAAAACACGTAAGGACAATTTTTAATAAAAACATCCATACTCCTAGGTCTCAAAGATTTGTGTTTAAACTCAACTGACTAGGCAGCTAACTCTACATGTTCAGCTGGACACTTCCTGTACCACAATAGATGAAGTTACACAATAGATGAAGTTACCTTCACAAGTGCAAATTCACTCCTCAGTCTGTTGCTACCATGATCGCCCTTTCCACTCCATGTTCTGAGGGTACTAGTTTCTAAGCGACCTAAATGAAAACAGAGAGATGTCTTGGGATAATTTATGAACACCTAATAGCTAATATGCACTGAGTTAAGGTAAGTCTCCAATCAAGTCTGACTTAGAAAAGTCTTTCATGGAGAATATACTTAAAATTATTCTTATCAAGTGTTCCTAAATTCCTCCTAAATCTTACTTTTGTTTTTAAATTACAGAATATTTTTAATTTGCCAAAAGTATAAAATGCATGTGCCCACCACTCAGGTAAAATTTAGCCCTACTTGCCTGAGATATAAGGTTATTCTGTTTGTTTCCCTGAATGTTTATTAGTTATCTCCTGTAAAACTTCATATGCCTAACGGGTTCTTGCTATTATTTACATTATTGCCTCTGCAGTTGATGCTATTATTATAATTATTTTGGTTAGTGTGAGTATATGTTTGATTAATGACCCATTCTTAAATTTTTATTGGTCTGTTTGGGTTTCCTTTTCTTTTCTCTCTCTTTTTTTTTTTTTGAGACGGAGTCTCGCTCGGCTGCCCAGGCTGGAGTGCAGTGGCCGGATCTCAGCTCACTGCAAGCTCCGCCTCCCGGGTTTACGCCATTCTCCTGCCTCAGCCTCCCGAGTAGCTGGGACTACAGGCGTCCTCCCCGTCGCCCGGCTAGTTGTTTTTTTTTTTTTGTATTTTTTTAGTAGAGACGGGGTTTCACCGTGTTAGCCAGGATGGTCTCGATCTCCTGACCTCGTGATCCACCCGTCTTGGCCTCCCGCCCTCCCTAATTTCTGTTGGAGGCCTATTTGTTTTAATAGTTTATTTTTTTAAAGACTCTTGTATCTTTATTTTCTATTTTATTAATTTCTTCTGTTACCACTATTTCTCCCTTTCTTTGACTTTTTGGGTTTACATTAATGTTCATATTTTAACATAAAGGCCTTTTAAAATAATTTTATTCTAAATATAATCTCTACTTTTAGTTCTTTTTTAATCCATGAATCATTGGTTTGTGTCATTTAATTCCCATACCTGATAAGTGGCTACTGTTTTGTTACTGTTTATTAATTTCAATGAATATTTTTCAAATAATACAGTTTATATGTTATTATTTGGTATTTCCTGAAACAACCTTTTGTGGCCTAGAATGTGCTAAGGTTTTCTACATACTAATGTTATCTAAAATAAAGTGAATTATTTTTTCAGGTACAGGATGCTATGCATGTACAATAAATAAATTCCCTTAAGTGCTTAGTTGAAATAATCTATATCCTATGATTTTTATACTTTACCTATTATTTCTGGTAGAAGCATGTTACCAATCTTAATATGATTAACTTTGCAAGTTGTCTTTAAAATTCTGTCAAATTAAAAAAAAAATTCTTATGATGCAAGAATAAGTTGTCACATTTCCTTGGCTGAATGCTACAGCTTCAGAAGTTAGGCAAGAGTCTTTCATCCATGTCTAATCTTCTCCACCAAGTCACTGGCTTCAAATTCTCTACTTGTTCTTGACCCTTAGAATTTTTTTCTCTCTCCCCTTCTCAGGTTACATATTAAAACCAAATATTTTAAAATTACACCTGATTTAGCATTTCTTTGTGTGGGAGAGAGGTTAGAACTAACTAACCACATTAGTTAGTTCACCCAGAATTGTGTTCACCAGAAGTTTTCCCCTTAAAATTTAGAGTAGGGTTGATATGAAGAATCAGTGTCTTTCTTTCTTCCTGACTGGGCATATCAGGTTGCACGGGCAATATTTTCTAAAATAGACTGTATTCTGTACTGGCAATTCATTTCTTTATTCTATTCTGGCTGTCACACTTAAAGATATTATCAAGATGTTTTGCAAAGTTGCAGAGAATTTTTAAAGCGGTCAAAATGTTTTGAAAGAAAATTAGAAACATATTCATTTATTTATTTTCGTTTACAAGAGGTATTAACAGTATTTTGTAAAGCTTCATAAAGAGAGCTAGGAAACCTGTATGGAAGAAATTAGGAAACTCATTTAGAATTATTTTGATAAAAATATTGCAGCAATTTGTTCCGACTTTGTGAGAATCAGTCACCTATTCTTGGCTGTTCAATGTATAGCTAACACCTGTCTGGAATGTTGTAGAAGAGATTATTCTACTAAGTAAAATAAACACTGTCCTGCTCAAACTTAATGTCTCTTAATAGTCTAAAATTCTATGAGTTGCCATAAATCCAACAAAGTTCCAGCAGATGTAAGACTGTGGAAATTAGACACGAAGTTAATAAGTAGCCTAAGCCAGGTACTGCCGGGCAGTAAGAGCTTTTGGAGCTACAGATTAGTATGGGGAATACCACTGAGCTGCCCACAGTAGGAGCTTGAGGGAAAATAAATCTCAGGTCTGGAGGCAAAAATGCCACAGCGACAACTAGGAAGATGAGAGTTATCTGGTGAGCTTGAACATATGCAGAAAGAAATCACAATTGAAAGATAAAAAATTAAGAGAAGCCAAAATATTTTGTCCCTTGGTAAATAAACCCAGAATAAAATTTCCTTATCTTGTGTTTTTAATGAAATATCATTGATAGTCACTTGAAAAATATTTTATAGTCACTATTTTCACATTGTTTTGATCTTTATTTCTATACTTTTCCTGATCAAGTTACATAAATTGTAAAAAAAAGTCAATGTTGTGGAATAAAGATATGTTGTATCTCATAACCAATTCTATACCCACAAAAGCAGTGCAAATGTATGTATGAAATTTGTATAATGTATTTTTAGCACATATTTTTGGGAGCACATTATCCTTTTCTATGAATCATAACATATTAGAGATAGCACATATATGGAATACATATAAAATTATAAATACATATAGATTATATGAATACATATATACAAATAACTTATATAAAATATAAACATATTTATATATAAAAATTTTTGCTGTAAAATTATATATGGTAAATTGGTAAGCTTTGCTTTTATTGTTGCATATTCTTATTTTAAAAGATGAGTAGACATCATACTCGGGGAATTTATTTTGAAAACCAAGAACAGCAAAATGTTACCACCAAATCATCATACATATGTATAAACACACACACACACAAATACACACTCCCCCCACACACTCTTACACTGTGTTTCCTTAATTTCTTATTCAGTCAATAAAGCATGAATTTCTGGCCACTAGATACATTCCATTAAATATTTCTGAAGTCTAGCTATGTGGAAAGCATTGTGTTAGATGCTGTAAATAGATGAATGCAGAAAAGACTGCCCTGCAGGGGTACAAACACTTTTGAGATACAGACATATACACAAAAATAATTGCAGTAACCCAAACAGTGGTAAGTAGATAATATAAACCACACACTGTGTATCTCTGTGTTTCTTGGTAGATGGCAAACTTCTAGGAGGTGGAGATTTGTCATGAATATATGTATTCTGAAAGTAGGCACCCCTCAACATTGTGAATAAATGCATAACAAAATAAAAAAAAGTATGAAGCTAACATATTTGCCCATCTCAACAAACCAAAACCAACAAAAACAACCAGAATAAAAACTGGTAAATAAGAACTCAGTTTATATTAATGCATTTAGCTTTTACTCTGCAGATACACTTACAGAATGATGTTTCTCTCACACTCAAGGAACCAATCTGGGCATCATATAATTAATGTAATATTTACTGAATCCCTACTGTTCATTGATTTATTTATTCAACACATATTTGTTGAAAACTGTATTAGTTTCCTGTGGCTGCTAGAACAAATTAGCAGAAACTTGGTAGCTTAAAGAGCATACATTTATTCTCCTGCAGTTCAGGAGGTCAGAAGTCTGAAGTCAGTTTCACTGGGCTGAAATTTCGGTATTATCATGGTCATTCTCCCTTCTGAAGGTTTTTCTTGCCTTTTCCGGCTTTTAGAGCTTGAAGGAAATACTTGCTTTCCTTTACTTTTGGTCCCTAGTCTGATCTTCAAAGCCAGCAGCCTAGCATTTTTCAGTAGTCCCACTGCCTTCTCCTTTGTCAAATCTCCCTTTGCCTCCCTGTTATAAAGACATATGTAATTATATTTAGGGCCCATCCAGACAACTCTCATCTCAAGATCCTTCCTCACACCTGCAAAGTCCCTTTTGCCATTTGAATTATTATTCACTGGTTCAGAGGATTAGGACCTCTATATCTTTGGGAATTTTTATCATCCTACTATAAGCCTATGAGCACCTACTATGTGTTGGGGGTTGGAGCCCCAGCTCTGAATTAGACAATCTCTGAACTGCTTTCATGGAACCTGACATTACAGGGTGTATAAAAGATGTATACAACACAGGCCTGCTATTTAATTGTGTTCTCTAATAGAAAAATGTTTATCAGTGAGTAAATGTATGTTTTTTTCTTTTTCTCTTTTAACAAGAGAAATTGCCAGCTACTTCTTAGAATAAGCAGGCACAGAAAATCACCTTGTAGCTGATATGTTGAGAAATTACTGTGGTCTCTCTTATATAAATAGAAGACAAGTGAGCTCATCTATTTTGAGAAATAACAAGGCATTTTTTTTTCTTTTACTGACTTTTGCAAACTGCTCCTTTTTGCGTGGCAGAAGAGGGTGGTATCATGGCAAGAGAAAGATTAGGTTGCTTTGTTTAAATAACCCATGGCATCCTACGAAGGAAGAAACCCAAACCTAATACCTTCGGAAATTCTCCGTAAAACCTGGAGTTTGAGTGATGCAACATTTGGGGAGTGGCTGATTGTGGTATGACACTAATGCTCAATCATAAAACATGGGACTTCCTTCCATCAACACACTGAGAGGCCCTATATCAACTGGTGGAGTCATTTCCGAACTCAGGAAGTGCTACATCTTCCTGCTGGCTCTGGTTTCCACTAAGGACATGCATCTGCCTTAGCTGCCACCATGCCTGTTTGCAGAATAGGGTTTCCTTCAGGATAGGGTTTCCTTAAGGAGAGGTATTCCATATCGAGTAAATCAATGCATTGGCATCTAACAGCATCATTCAATCAGAGGTGAACTTTCTGCCTTCTTTATTCGGGAAGGCAGAACCCTCTCCCATCTCCATCACTCAGGAGGGCCATGACCTGGGCAAGTACTTGGATCAGAGAATGAGATAAACTTTCACCAAAGGGGCTTGGCCTGTTTAGTTAGAAGTTACCTACACTGAGTTTAATTCTGGGTTACGTACATCAATTCTTAGAAGAGCCTTATCTAATGCATCAAGAAGTCACCCTAAAACCTGTGACCACTACGAGGCCAGTGAATTTTAATCATGGCCTACCAAGGCAAGTTTTTTCCTTGGTCTGATCATAGCTCGTGAATTTATGTGAGATAGAGTTAGAATGGATTCCTTGCTGTCAGGATGCTGGTAGGTATAGTGAAAGGATTAGAGCATTAGGGGGAACAATGAAAGTTTGGTTTTCTGAATTATCTGCTGCTATAAACTGGTGGAAACTTTAGTGGTTTACTCATGGCACTTCTTGGAGTTACATTCTTTGCATCCCAAATTGTGTCAAGGAATATCCAAGTTACACCTTCATAAACCCAAGATATGATCAAAAGAACAGAACAATTTAGTTAATTAAGAAATGATTGCTGTTTCATATTCTCCCTATAAATGTATAGGGATTAAAAGAATAAAATAATCAGTAAGTATAAAATAAACTTTATATGGACAGTGAAGCATACTGTGATGGATAATTGGACTATTTGGGGATTTATTTTATTTTGTTACTACTTAGAATCTAAAGATCCTTCAGGTTTTTGGAAGAATAATGTATTGTGTGTTTTGTGCCCAATTTCCCATTAAATAAGCCAAAAGTTCTGGGCTCTACTTCAAGGAAGTTAAGGAGGAAAAGACATACAGCCTAGAGTAAGCTAATCAAATGATCTCAATCCAAAATTTGAATCTTGAAGCAACAAGGTAGATAACACAGGCAGAGTTCAGAAGTCACTCATAGTGTGTCAGCAGCATTGAGTTCAGGGCAGCCCTGAAAGCAGCAGTGCCCTAATCTATACTGTTATATGAAGCTGTGTTTCCAATTTCCTAGCCCCTCTTGTTTCCTGCCCATTGCCATTACCTAATGTACTAGCCTTCATCTTCATGCTAAATTCTGTAACTTTTTGCATAGTCTATTTGTTTTTAGGTTTGCCAGATTCAATTTCTATTGCTTACAAAATGTATCTCTGATTAATGTAAGTGGAGAGGATATGGACAGAAATTGATTTCTCATCTTCAGTGAGAGGAGTAATGAGCAAAGATATAAATGGCATATGGCTAGGAAATACTAATGAAACTTCTAGGACAGAGGAAAAATAGACATGAAATAATCAGGAGACAAACAATAGGGCCCACTGAAATAGAGGCAAGAAAAAGATGGTTGAAGGTGTAACTGTTTGCTTAGGTCTGGGAAATACAAAGAAGACTCTTCAATGCTGATGTCAAAAGATATGATTAATGGCTGCTGCTTTTCTAGTAGCAAGACAGGATTAACCTCAAGGATCTTGTGGGGTGGGGACTATGATTTTAATAAATGCCTATTAGAATAAACCAAAGGCTACTATTAGTTTATTGTGTTAGAATCCTTCCATACAAGAATTTGACAAAAAAGAAAAAAATGGGGGATTTTTTTTTTTCATTCTTCCTTCTTTGGATCATTTTTGTCTTTGGACTCTCAGTGACTGATTACTCCTGATGCAACACACTTAAAATGTCTATTTATGTCAGCTGTGGCAGTCTCCCTTCCTAGCCATGGAAGAGCATATTCTTGTTTATTGGCAAAGCTGTCACCATTTAATTGGTATCAGATTCTGACTTGCACAAGTAACATTATTCACTGTTAAAAACCTGGAGGGTGCCGGATTATTGGGCAAACTTTTCTAAACCGTTGTTCAAATGTTTCTAGGAAGCTGAGCTGAACACATTACGATGGAAGATGGAAGTATAAGACTATCAAGAAATCCAAAGTGGTAACGGGCGAAGTCTATTCAGCATCCGGCAATGGATTTATCTTAGGTGGGGAAACGGGTGTTCCGAATAATGTTCTGGAAGTTATCAGGATACCTATTTTCAATATAGGACTGAATTTTTTAAAGTAATATTTAAGGTGGTCCTTGATAATTAAATAAAATGCTTAATTCATGTGGCTAAAAAAAAAATTCCTATTTACGATACAAATGAATTTATATGCAGCTCTTTTTCCTTTCAAGAAACCATCTATTAGATGAATGGCATATTCTTCTGGTGCTGTATTTTTAATTTAAAAAATACATAAATATGGGCTCATATAAAAAAAAAAAGCACTACAGAGAGTAAAAAAGAAAATTCTTCATTCCCCTGCCCTTACATCACTATAGGTAACAATGCATATATCCTTCCAGATATTTTTATATATCATACATGCACATCTATATTTAAAATTTATATTAATATAACACGAACTTCTCTTGTAAGTAATAACATACTAATCACTTGCTCATTTATCTTGGAGACCTTTCCCATCAGTGCTTATTAATTAAATTCTATATTGTTTACATTCAGAAAATTATTGAACTAATTAAAAATAAATGTATACACGAGAGATAAAAAAATTGGATGTGGCAGCTATTATGGCCATCCCATATTTGAAAATAAAATCAAGATTCAGAATGCAAAAACATTATATATGTGATAATTATAACAAAACATGTTTGCTTACTTTCCAGTGATGCCAAGTTAAAAAAAAAAAAAAATCTACATAAAAACACTGGGAAAAAAGTGATGTGAAAGAAAAAAAGAATATTAACAACATTATTACTATCATTGCCACCTCAACATTCCCTGACAATAGCAGGGGATAGGTAGAGCAGTCAGAGTTACAAGATGGGGCACTAGCAGCAATTCTAATCCAGTTTATAAACACCATTGTGCAATGAATCTGACAGATACAGAGGGTGATGCAATGAGAATCTACTTGCCCTAATTTATTTACACTGGCAGTCATAAAGTACCCGGTTTTTAAGCAAGTGAGCATGCACTAACATATTTATAAAATGAAATTCTCTCCCTCTCATTTGACATCAGAAAATGTATTAATCATTCCCATAAATATATTAGAATAGGGAACAATTATTATCTCAATGGGTGCAGGAAAAGCATTTAATCAATTAAGCTGTCACTCATGGTTAAAAACAAAAGCAAACAATAAAACATTATGAACTGTAAACTGAACACTTAATAATCCTGATAAAGTATTTACCAAAAACCCACAGCAAACATTGTTATCATTATAAAATGTTAGCAGTATCGCAGTAAAGAGATGAATGGGACAAGAATGCCATTACTACTTCCATTAAACATTGCACTGGATGCTCTGTTAATAAATAGAAGAAAAAACTGAATAAGTGGTTTAAAAAGAGAGAAAGAAGGAAACCATTATTCTTACTTACAAATGATATGATTAGCTATATAGGTCATCCAAAGATGTAACAAGGAAATAAAGCAAGCAATCAAAAAAATTCAGCAAAGCTTCTGGAGATGGTACCAATATATTGAAATTGATGCTCTTTTAATACAATGTGACTGAACAATTAGCAAATAGAGTTTAAAGACAGAGATCTCTAATTTTAGTAATAAAACTAGGAGGCAATATAATGAAAGATATTCAATAAATTACAAAGCACAGTGGCACATAAAGTATCTGAATAAAATAAATATACCATGTTCATAGATAAGACATGTCACTAAAATAATCTTTAAATTCAATTCTTAAGTTGAATAAAATGCCCAATTAAAATCCAATTTTTAAAAATGGATCTTCGCTGGCTCATCCTAAAATTCAAATGAAAGAGTAAAGAGCCAAGTATAGTTAAAGCAATTTTAGAGAAGAATCATCAGGAGGAGGGGCTTGCAAAATGTTTTAATACATAGAGTTGAGTGCATGGGTGTTCATTATGTTATTATTTGTCCTTTTCTGTGTCTAAAATTGTTACAATTAAACTTTTAAACTTGTAGAAGAAAGAATAGTTTCTGCTCTTATATTGGGAAGAATCTTGTAAGCAAGAAAGCAAAAAGCACAAAATTAAAATGTAAAATATTATTAAATTCAAAAAGCTGTATACTGAAGTACGTAACTTACAAGAGAGAATTAAACTAGAAAAACTAAATATTATCTACAAAATAATTTTCAAAAGCAAGCAATTAAAAAAAAATGAGACAAAATTAAGAACAGGCTTTAAAAAAAGGGCAAATGCAAATTAAAAGAGCAATCAGATGCTCTTGCCAGCAAAAACTTAAAAGTCTAACAATAGCAGGACAACGATGTGTCAGTCTAGTTAATGGGAAACGGACTTGTATATAGACGAATCTCAAAACCTCTCAAAATCTAAATGGGTAGTGAAAAAAGGGGAAAAATGAAGAATGATTCACATATAAAATATAAAACCAGGAAAAAAGTATTTTTAGGGAATCGTACATATGTAACCGAATTTTCAGAAAGGCAACGGAATAAGCAATATAAAAATCATCCTAACGGTGAACGGAAGGAAGGAGATGCTTTCAGAGAGGCCTTTCTAGAAGGCTTCAAAAATACTGGCATTTTTTTTCTTAAGCTCTGTAGTGGGTACCTGGGCATTTTTCATTCTTCTTCTTTAAGATATGCACATGAGATATACTTGTATGTATATTTCCCAATTAAAACTGGCGTAAAAAGTATTTTTAAGGAGAGCCTTTATGAAACTGTTCACACCAGCAAGTTCTAGCTTGAATAAGGATTTCCTGTTACTATGCAAGCAAATAAAAGATAGCATTTTCTTGTTTTCTGAAGCGAATGTAAGATGGAAACCTTCAGTTGTAATCCTGTTTCAAAAGTTCCTGTTCTTTACATCTGACTTATCGTCAATTATTTCTAGTATTTCAGTACAGATGTGACTTTATAGAATACATTCGCAAATTAAAAACGCCATCTGCATCTGCCTACCTTGGGCTTCCAAGTAAAGTTCTGTTTTTTAAAAAATCAAAACAGTTCCTCAACTTAGACAGTTCGAAAACCAGTATACTCGGGGTACAAGCAACTTGTGAATGTTTCACATAAAAACAAACAAAAATGTGTCCTCTGTAATACAGTTAGAGCCTCCCAGCTGAGCCTCAGAAGACCGTTTCTAAGGGCAGTGAGTTCTACTTGCAGAAATAGGACGGGAGTGCAGTCTGACTCCAATCTACACGTCTTTCCCCTCTTACAGAAAGCCCCGAAACGCAGTCCTCTCTTTCTTCCGCGCCGCTCCCGCCCTAGGCCTCTTAGACCCGCGACTGGAGGCTCCGGGAGACCCCCCGAGCCCCGCCCGCTCCGTGACCCCGCCCCTGCCCGTCCCGCCCCTGAAAGCTCCCGGAACGCTCTGCGCGCGCCTTCGGGGAGGAAGGGCTGCCTGGGCCCGCGGCGCGGCGGCAGTCTGCTCTCTGTTCAGGGGTCTCAACCTCTCCTCTGGCCGAGACCCCGCAGGAAGCGGATTACCCGACGCTGGTGAGTAGCTGCAGGATTCGGACCCCATAGAGGCGGCGGCGGTGGCGGCAGGGGGCACGAGGTCCACCGCGGGCGCCTGCGCGCTCGCCCGCCAACCAATCTGGTGGCGGCTTTCCTCCTGGCGTCCTTTGACCCGGCGCCCCTCTGGCAGGTAGCTGGTGGCGCCGAGCCGCGAGTCTGTACCCCCAGACCCCCCATTAACCTGAGCTGTCACTCTTACGCCTGTATTAGTCTGCGTTAGTTCTACTGCCTTATACACTGCTTTATCCCCACCCCACCGGCCTCGTCGCCGCCTCCTCTTTGAAACGGAACCTCCTGTCGCCTCGGTTTTTCCTCGTCTCCCAGACAAGTTGGAGATTTCGGGACGGATGAAAGCCTTTTTCAGCACCTTCTCCTTGTTCCCCAAGACTGCCTCTGAGCCTTGAGCCGACCGGGAGAGTGGAAGGACCGAGGCCTGCTGGGCTCAGGGTGCAGCGGAAAGGTTGCTGTCGCCTGTCTCAGCGCCTCTGGGCATCGGGAGGAGACCGCCGGATGGCGAGGCCGCTGGAGATGGTTTTTCAATTCACCTGTTAACGTGTTTGGCACTGTCATCTTAGACTCTTACCCTTTGCTAAGTCTGGGGATGCAACAATGCTGGATTAGTGTTTTTGGTGTTCCTTTTTCCAAAGAAGCAACTTGAAGTACAGGCAGTTGTAACTGGTTTTGTTGTTGCAAGACCCTACGGATAAGTGTTAAACATGAAAATGTGGAAGTGCTATAAAACAACAAGGGGGGGGATAATGTTGATTATGAACTTGAAAATAAGAAAAATGGGACTGAAATAGGCTCTTCACGTTGAAGTATTGGGGCAGTAGTTTGAAAAAATATATAAAGTAAAACCTAGATGTTGGAGATACTGTGTCACGTTGTTTGCAAATCACTTTCATGACAATACATCTATTTCAGGTGTATCACACCTGAAAAAAGCAGGAGTGCTGTGAATTTGTGGATTTCCAGGCTCAATGCAAAAAAACACCCCCAAAACAAAAAATCACAACAATGAAAACACCATTTCCAGAACTGTTGCTGTTATTTGTGTGATGAATAGTGAATGTATGATCAGAAAATAGAATAAACTGTCTTTAGTTTTAAGTTTGGGCTACAGTTTATGGAGTAGGTAACAGTTAATCATTGTTTATTAAGTACATAATCCTTAATTGAAAACATAACCATATAGCAGCAGCTTTCATCTTATGTCACAAAAATAACTGTGGTGTATCCTCTAAATTTGATTTGTCTAATACCTTGAAGGAAGGCAGAATAGCATAGACAAGAACTTGAGTTCTTGAGCCGGACTTGATCTGCTCCTTGCTAGATGATTAGCCTTAGATTGGTTGCTTGGCCATTTGCTGACCCAGAGATTTTTGAAAAAGTTACCAACTGCTCAGTTTCATCATCTGTAAAATGAAGTTAAAAGAAATTCTACTTCATAGGTTGTTGTGCAGGTTAGAAAGGAAGGATGAATCTAAACCTAACTGAATTTCTGTTAACCAGAGGGTACAAGTGTTTACAATAAAACTGACCTGGGCAAGAATTGATTTTGAAACTGATTTTGAAAGTTGCAGATGTGTCTTCTACTACTGAGTTATATTTATCTCCGGTGGCTTCATACAAAATAAAATTAGAAGAAAACAATATATATTTTTAAAAAAGCACCAAAAATGTGTGTGATTTAATTTAGTTAATAATAATTAAAAGGGGCAATCTTTTTGGATTTTCTGAGTTGCATGATAAAAGCAAATAATTTTTGAAGTAGTAATTCATACCACCCTGCTTCAGAATCTCTTGGGGTCTCTTAGCTAGCTGGATATGTCCAATAATTTTTTATTAGACATCACTAAGCTTTAAGTCAGCATTTCAAAGAATTAAAAGCACAAAACTCAAAAAATAGAAGCGATAGGTTCAAAAGAACCTATTGTGTGTGAGTAATGTAAACAGCCTTTTGATGAGAAAACAGATTTTCAGTAGCCAATACTTTGAGTAGGTCCCTGCTTTGGAAACATATCTGCAATTAACTTGTAATTTTTTTTCTATGGTGACTTACAAAACTTTTCTTTTATTGAAGCTAAATTAGTTCCTCCATCCCTTTCGTGCAAGATCAGACATTTTAGGCATCTCAAGGGTCATTGTGGTTTTGCAGTGTTTAAGATGATTTTTTTCATTAAATTGGATTTTTAAAATTATTGGATCTTTATGATTCTTTATAATATGTTCAGTATACACTGTAAACTTATCAAGTGTGTATACGGTCAGTAGTCTATATATACACAGTCTATATATACCTATATATACACACACATATATACATATATACACACACATATATATACTGCCAAAATACCAATGAAACACTAAAGAGCCAGAAATTAACTTTATTTAAGCTGAACACTTAACACTATGTGAAAGATATGTTATACTCTACTAGAATGTGAAGATAAAGACTATTTCTGAAACTTAAGGAGCAATCTAGTAGGGAATATAAATATAAATGCACAGCATGATATGAAATGACATAAGAAATGACAATTTAAAAAGTAAATACTGTTAACAATGAAATATATGAGGAGTAAGTACTTTCCACTGTGGAATCAGGAGAGGTATCAAGAAGAGGCAGCATTTCAACGTTGACTTGAAGGTGACTGGTATTTCAATAGTTGGTCATATAGAGAATAGGCACTTAGAATAAAATGTGTTCTATTTTAATTGCTTCCCAGACACCCATCTTTAATCATCATCATAAACAATTGCTCATATTTATTTAGTCTTATACTAAGCCACATGATTCTGAGAGTTTTACAATATTAACTAATTTCATCCTCACAAAAATCCCATGAGTGAAGTAATAGCTCATTTTATAGGTGAGGAAAGGAACTAAGAAAGATCAGGTCAGTTTTGTAGGTCAGATAACTAAAAAATGGCATAGCTGGAATTTGAACTCAGGCATTTGAACTACAGAGCTCATATTTTAAATATCAGTGCCCATCTGTGTTTATTTAGGCTGAGATGACTTAATTGAGATATGGAGGTTGAACCAGAGCCAATAGATACCTTTTAAAATTGAGCTTGTGTGTCATCTATAATGATGTGATACACACATTTTAATTGAATGAATGAAGTAATGTAAAATGAGAAGACAGAGGGATCAGCTTAAGAAATTACATTTATAGGGGAGAGAGGGAGAGAGAAAAAAAACAGCTTCCAAAAATGGACATTTTGTGCTTTGTATTCATGTGTAGATCTAGAAAATGAACCTAAGAAATTTTTTTAAATTTCCTTTTTTTCCTATATTTCTTCACTTTTCATTTATTTATAAATTCATTAGTGTTTACTCTTTGATAAAACATTACTGTTTCAAATTGTCTTGCATGATTCACAGAACAGTTTTATCAGTAGGCAAAACAGATACCCTCTTTTTTAAGAAAAGGCTAAATGACTTGCCCAGGATCACACAACTAAGCGTGACTGATTTGAATTTACATCTTCAGATTTATTATGTATCTTGATCTTTCATGCATCTCACCATTTAGCTGAAGTCAGCATTTCAAAAATCAATGCCTTACTAATTTCTAAATCTGTTAGTTATTTCTCCTGTCTCTGTAACTCTTCTAACATTCATTACCATTGTTTTTTTCCTTATAGAATACCTATCCAGACCTTTTCCTTAGGAAGTATTATGTTCTACTTTTAGAAAATAGTAAGAAAATCACTGTTTTATCACCCAGACATAACTATTTTACATGTTTATTTCCTTCTGTGTGTATCTTTAATACAGTTGATATTATGTATCATAATAGTTGATATGATATTACATCCAAAATATTATTTTTGCTTCATGTCTCATCAAAATTCTCCCTTTAAGCAAAGGGGGAAATATTTGTGGTGATGTCAATAATTTGAAAATTTCAGACAACAAATTACAATGGCATGCCAAAATGGTTGTATCATCCTTTTATACCTATTAGTGCAACAGGACTGCCACAACTCACATGTAGAAGTTTCACTTCCTAGAGTCATGTAGTTGAGGGTTTGAAAGACCTTATGACTTAGCCCTTTCCAGAAATAAGCAGGTATGTTAACAGCTCACATGCTTCAGTTTACTGCTGGGATAAATAGCACAAACAATCTCTGTATACTTTTCCTGCATATTCACCAAATGGTAATATTTTACCACATTTGCTTACCATTGTACACACTCTCTCACACACAAACACACACACACACACACACACACACATGCCCTTATTATATGTTGCATTGTATGTAAGCATACATTATATATAGTGTATGTATGTGGTGTGCATATATGTATGAATATATGTGTATTTATGTGTATGTGTGTATCCTTTCTTTAATATATTGTCTGATGCTTCCTCGTGATTAGATCTGGCTTAATTTTTTTTTTTTTTTTTTTTTGAGATGGTGTCTCTCTCTGTTGCCCAGGCTGGAATGCAGTGGCGCGATCTCTGCTCACTGCCAGCTCTGCCTGGCCCGGCCTGGTGACTCATGCCTGTAATCCCAGCTCTTTGGGAGGCGGAGGCGGGTGGATCACGAGGTCAGGAGATTGAGACCATCCTGGCTAACACCGTGAAACCCCGTCTCTACTAAAAAAATACAAAAATAGGCCGGGCGCGGTGGCTCAAGCCTGTAATCCCAGAGATCCGGCCACTGCACTCCAGCCTGGGCTACAGAGCGAGACTCCGTCTCAAAAAAAAAAAAAAAAAAAAAAAAATATATATTAGCCAGACGTGGTGGCTGATGCCTGTAGTTCTAGC